ATTGAGATGGGATCTTGCTAACTTTTTGCCTGGGCTGGCTTTGAACTGAGATTCTCCCAAGTCTGTCTCTGCAGTAGCTGGATTACAGTCGTGAGCCACCTTACCCGGCCCCTTTTATATTTTTCATAGTAGCCATGAGAAGACACCTCAGTGTGGTTTTGATCCACATTTTTTGTAATGATCAGTGTATGTGCATCTCTTCATGTGCTTATTGTACATTTGGGGCTCTGTCCGTTCATGGGGATTTGAGCTGCTTACTGTCTAGCATCCTTTCATTTCAACCTAAAGGCTAAATAGCATTTCCCACAGGCCAGAAATGCTAGCAACAAATTCTTTCCATTTGTGGTTATCTGAGATAAAAATCATGTGAGAAAGACAATTTCTCCTTTTTTAAAAAAAATATTTATTTATTTATTTTTGGCAGCACTGGGGTTTGAACTCAGGACTTCACACTTGCTAGGCAGGCGCTCTACCACTTGAGCCACTCCACCAGCCCTCTCCCTTTGTTTTGAATGACAGTTTTGCTGGATATAGAATTCTTGGCTGAAAATCTTTTCAGCCTATGTACTCGCTTTATGTATATCATTTTACTACCTTCTGGCATCCAGTTTCTGCTGAGACATCCGCTTTTAATCTTACTAAGAATTCATTTTGCATGATGAATCTCTTCTCGCTGCTGTCAAGATTCTGTCATCATGATGTGTCTAGGTGAAGATTACTTTGAGTTTATCCTACCTGGGATTTGTTGTACTTCCTGGCTATGTCGATTAATATTGTCTACACACTTGAGAAGTTTGGGGTCGGTATTTTCTTTTGTGTGTGTGTGTGTGTGTGTGTGTGTGTGTGTGCTGTGTGTTGACCCAGGCATTGCTCATGCTAGGCAAACACTTTGCCACTGAGCTGTATCTCAGCCCTGCACATTGTTTCTTCAGGTAATTTCTCTACCACCTTGTCCTCTCCCCACCTGGAGTCTTACCGTGGGTATGTTGATATACTTGAGGATGTCCCAGAGATCTCTAGGGCTCTGTTCATTTTTCTTCAGTCTGTTTTTCTTTTTTGTTTATCAGACTGGCTATTCTCAATTGACCTATTTTAAAATTCTCTGGCTTTTCTTTTTGCCTGCTTAAATCTGTTGAGTCCCTTTAGTCAATTTTTCATAGCAATTTTTGCATTTTTTCAGGTATTTTGTCACAGTTACAAAAAGCTGCCTAACACTGAAAATTGGTATTGAGAGTGGGGTTTTTGCTGTGACGACCTAACCATGTGGTTCAGAAGCCTTTTAAAATTGGTTTGTGGGAAGAATCTGAAAGTTTGAAGATACAAGCTAGAGAAAGCCTACAATGCTGTAAGCAGAGCTTAATTGGTGATTCTAATAGGAGCTCAGAAGATCAGAATGTTGATAGGAATGTGGACAGTAAAGATTGTTTGCAAAGTTTCACATGGGAACAAGGACTCTATTGGGAATTGGACCAGAGACTATTCTGATACATTCTAGCAAAAAGTTGCCTACATTTTGCCCATGTCCTGAGACTTCGTAGAAGACTGAATTTAAAGATGATGACCTAATTTGATGGAGGACATTTCAAGGTAGCTCAGCACTCAGTCTGGGGTATGGTTATTTGTTGCTAGCTGCTTTTAGCCAGGTCTACACTGGGAAGTTAGAACAAGAAGCAGAGCATAAAGATTTAAAAATCCTGCAATTTGATCAGAAAAGTCCATGTAAAGTTAGGGTTAAGGAAGGCATGGTTGCTGAGGAGACCAGAGCCATTAAAAATAAGCCATGTTCTTTGTACTGGGACAACAGGAAAGATGACTTGAGGTCATCTTGGGACTCATCAGGATCCCAGCCATCACAGGCTGAAGGGTATAAAAGTGTAAACTCACTTAAAAGCTTTTTCTCTTTAGATGAGAACCCTTCTGTGCACCCTGCTCACCCAGGGCTGTCTAGGAAGTTGTTTCCCCATGATTTGATTCACCATGCTTGCCACCTAAGCACTTAGAGGCTCCTGCACTGTAGCCCAAGGTCCCAGGGCCACTTTTGAGCTACCAGTACACCTGTCATCATCTGCATGATGCTGGTTTTGCAGGCATGCAGAATGCAAGATTAGTCTAAGTTTTAAGGGGTCATGGAGGTTTCCACTCAGATTTCAAAGGAAAGCCTGGAAGGACAGGCAATGTATGGCAGGGTTGGAGTCCCTGCAGGAAACCCTTAAGAGGGTTGATTATGTGTGAAGCCATGAGATAAACTATGAAAAACCAGGGATGTTGAAAAGAATGAAGTTTGTATTGTTAAGGAATGTAATTCTATGAGATAACATGGAATGTGCCCACAATATATTGTTGTATTAGGAAAGAAAACTCATATTTAGGCCAGGTGTGGCGGTGCATGTACATAATCCTAGAACTGAGGAGGCAGAGGCAAGAGGATGGCAAGTTAGTTTGAGGCTATTCTGTGCTATGTAGCAAATTCCAGACCAGACTGAGCTATGTTTTAAGACTCCATCTTAGAAAACAAAACATACTTTTCTATTAAATTAAAAGTTATATATATATATATGTAAACCGTTTCTTGTAAGCTTGCATTTATAAGTATACATAAAAAAAAAACCCAGAAAGATACAAATAGACTTGGCCACAAGGTTTTAAGAGTTAATATTATTTTGTTTCCTTGTTTATGAGATTGTGATAATGTTTTCAAAATATACTATTTCCCACTAATAGTTAAACCCAAATAGTAGGAAGGCAGAGACAAAATGTTTTTCCCTCAAGACTCTGCAGACTCAGTGCTGGGGGTGTGACTCAGGTGATACAGCACTGGCATAGCAGGTACCAGGCCCTGAGTTCAAACCCCAGTACTGCAAAAGAAAAAAAAAAAAAAAAAAACGAAACTCCAAAGACTGTTTCCCCCCATCAATTTCATTTCATTTCAACCTTTTCTTTGTTTTGTTTTTGTTAGTGCTGGGGTCAAATCCAGGGCCTTGGGCACTGAGCTAGACCCCAGCACTTTCCCATTAATTTCAGCATAGAGCAAAAGTCTACCAGTGCTTTACATGAAGATTGATATGACTTTAAATGTGAAGCTGTCTAAAAATCCCAAATTAAAAACACAAACATCCCGTCCAGCTGGATAGCCAAGTACAGTTTCCTTTTAGAGCAGTAGAAAGAACCTAAGTCTTTTTCTGCACATGGTAAGGGTTTTACCACTGCAAATAAATAACTGATTCATGTTTATCTTATTTAGAAAGTATCATAACAAACAAAGGAGGTGGTCCAGAGCTTATAGAATTCTAGAAAATGTGCATAAAAATAAACACAAAGTACATATGTTAACGGTACAGTCTGTGATCAGAAGATTTCCAAAGTCCTTGTGTCCCACAGGGAAGAAGGCACAGCAGGACACGTGGGTGTAATTGGGGTTTATTGAAAGTTAGGGAAAGGAAATACAAAAGGGAGCATGGTGGGCGCAGGTAGAATCTGCTGGCAGAGAGAGCATGCTCTTATTTTTCAGGGGTTTTTAAAACCTTCACTAACCCATGGGAAGGGCAGACCCAGGAGATTCCCATCCAATAATCTATGAGGGGGGAAGGGCACTGTGCAGTGCCTGGGCCAGGTGAGGGTGGTCCCAGGACCAGGCATGGGCAACCTAAAAACACATACAATATTAAGACATATATTTTTTATGAGTCCCGAACTTTCCCTGATCCTAGCCTGCCTCACATGTAGTGGTTGGGCATATAAAACTATATATGCAGCTAGATTAAACTAATTTACAAATTAATTGTATTCCAAATTTTGATTGAAAACTCATTTTACGTACAATTTGTAATTCTTTTTCCCACTTTTTTTTACCAGTTGAACTAAAAATACATAGTATCCTTGTACAATATAAGTGCCAGTACTCTTATTGTCACATATTTGCAATTTAAAAGAATTAAGCTGGTGTTAGTTTTGAGGCAGCAGTCCAATGCAATAGTTAAGTGAGTTCTTACATGCTAACACCTAAGAAATAATCAGGAATCAACTTTCTGTTGTGTGTAAGCAAACCAAGGCTCTTAAAAAGCAATAAATAAGTGTTTGTGTTCCCAGGCACACCCATGAACTGGTTTAATCACCAAACTATTTGCACAGGAAGGTTTATGATTTCCCTACATTTACATGATAAGTAGAACCAAGATTAGAATTCAGGGCGTGCCTTATACTTTTGTCCAAAGCATTGGTCCAGCCACCAGCAAAACATTTACATGAGTGTACACATTATAGTCGTAATGCATTGGTAGAACTCACTGAAACTTATTTGTGAGGCCTCAGTTACAACGGTCTATGCAAGAGTCTTTCAAAACTGCCCCTTGTATCCATAGAACAATCCTAAAACAGAATAAAAGACCTATAGAGAAGGAAACCCAATACATGGGAGAACACTCCTTTGAAGATTGGCAAGTAGAATTCATTCAGATGCCAATGACTACTGGAAACTTCAAAAACCTATTAGTGCTAGTTGATATCTTTTCTGGGTAGGTCAAGCCCTACCCCACCCAACTAAGAAAGCATCAGAGGTGACAAAGATCTTACTAAAAGAGGTCATTCCAAGGTATGGACTCCCATCTTCAGTTCAGATTGACAATGGACTTCTCTTTGTAGCAAAAATTACCCAAAAAGTAAGTAAAACCTTAGGCATCAAGTGGAAGCGACAAGTGTCATGGAGACCCCAAGCTACTGGAAAAAAGGAAACAAATGAATCACACACTGAAGAAGACTATAGTCAAACTGGGTCAAGAAATCCATTTAAAATAGGACAAGGTATTGCCAATACCTTCTCCATGTATGGGTGGCCCCAAAAGTGGTCTCAAGTTAAGCCCCTATGACATAGTATATGGGAGACCCTGCTTGGCCCCTGGAGGAAAAGGCGAAAGTGTAAATATACAAGAAGAGTCTAAGTTAAAACAGTATGTACAACAAATAAGTCCATTACTAATGGCTACACATAAGTTTGCTTCTTCCAGGTCAACACTTCAGCTGGAGACACTCCTCCATCCTTTCAGGACAGGAGAGCAGACCTTCTGAAAGCTTGGAAAGAGCCAGGCCCTGAATAACAGCTAGAAGGAAAGAAGAAAGGGCCTTTACAACGTGCTTCTGACAACTCATAACCTCTTTGAAGCTAGCTGGAGTCCAGCCGTGTGTACACCATAGAAGAGTAAAGAAGTGCCAAGCAAGCGACTTTACCACACCAGAACTCCACTGGGAGAGCCAACCGAGGGAGGATCTAAGGCTCTTCAGGAAAAAGACACAATGAATACTGTTATATGTCTACTAATCTGTTTCTGTCCTTGTACCCTTTCTGCAGGATGGAAGGATAACTCACTGGTCCGTATTGCTCAAACACTGGCTTCCTCAGCACAAGCAGTAGACTGTTGGATCTGTGTCCCTAGAGCCCGATCTGTCATAGATCATAGTGACCCTTTTGTCTACCCTGTCACTAATTTCACTCAGGTCCCAGATGGGGTCTGGACACCAACACTGGACCTCAGGGCTCGTACTATTATGTACCGGGTACGGATAGTAGGCCATCTGGTTGAAGGCATCTCTGCTGTTCCCTGCCTTACTCTTCCTCTTGTTGCCGCTAATACCATTTACATAACCCACATAGATGGTAGTCTCAGGGAAACACGGATTCCAGAGTATTTCGAAATGATACCCCCTCCCAAGTCAGGGCAGTTACCTCTGTGCATGCAGAAAAATACTCGATTTTCCGCAGAGGAGTTTAAAGTAATAGCTGATTACTCCTTCCAGAATCATCCTTGGATGGAACGTACAGGGTTTCGAGTGGGAGAATACTTCTACACCAGAGACCCATTAAAGTATTTTAAAGAAGAAATGGTTTTCTGTGCTCCCCCAGGATTTGTGTTTGTTTGTCAAATTAGTGGACAGCCCTGGGCAACAGACTGCCTAAGAAATTTTTCCAGCCCTACCCAGTGTATGCTGAGTACCCTAGTTACACCATTCTCCATTCACTCTTTAAATGAGTCCACTCATTGGGGAAGCTCTTCGAAGCTTTTCACTAGAGTGACACGGGATTTACCAGGAAAGGTACCAGATGGGTATTGGTATAATTTTGACCATTCCTTTTTACCCTGGTGGGGAGCCCATCAATGGGTACTCCGAAACCTGTCCCAAACCCTGATCACCATAGCTAATGAAACTGCTTTATCCCTTTCTGATCTACCACACTCCTTGGACTCTCTTGCAAAAGTTGTACTGGATAATCGAATGGCTCTAGATTACATGCTAGCTGAACAAGGGGGTGTATGTGCTATTGCTAATACATCTTGTTGTACCTATATCAACACTTCCTCTCAGGTAGAAACCAGCATAGAAAAGATTAGACAGCAAGCTACTTGGTTATAGCAAATGTGAGCATCATAGGGCCATTTTAGATAGCAGGGGTGGGGTCCACAGGCTGGTTTTCTAGTCTTTTTTTTTCCCCTGGATCCCAAATGGTATCAAATCTGTTTTATTAGTTACCTTTCATTTTGGTATGATTATTCTATTGATTATAGGGTCAACATATATACTTTTCTGCTGAGCACTCTGTTGCATACCCTACCTATGCAAAACCACTATTGGAGCCTTTAGTACACACAAGGATGATTGGCAAAGGCAGGTACAGGCCTTCCACCAGAAAAATCCTCCAACACCATCCAACTTCAGCAGGAAGCAGCAAGATGACTACAGCGTCCCTTATTCCATGGAAGTGGATGGGAAAAAATTGACAGTGGGGAAGTTGTAACAGGGACTACCTAAATATGGTCATGGTGTAGTTTTAGCCTAGTGACTAACTTACTTTGCTAGCCATCCTGCTTTGCTGGATTACTCATGTTTAAAACTAACTTTTCCCCCTCCTTTTTCTTTTTCCCTCTCATTCTTGCCTCCCCCCACCCCCTGCCTTGGGTGTGTCTGGGGGGCAGGGGGGTAATTCAAGATGAACATTCTTTCTGCTCCCTATCTCCATGACCACAGGAATGAGGAAACTAACATCAGCAAGACATTTCAACAACTGGCACCAGCAAATGGGGAGATGTGGGCCCCCAAAGACCACCATCTGGCTGAGTCATGTCTTCTAGCATGCACACTCAGAGTCCACTTTGCAGACTTTACTTTAAAAACCACCTGGATCAGGGGATAGGGGTGGGGGACAGCAGCTTATGAGATGTTAGTCTGCTGCACTCTTCCTTTGCAGAGAGATCAATAAACCTCATTTTCCTTTTATTCCAAATGCTGCTCTCATTTGCGAATTGGCGCCGAGTTCCAGAACCAAACTTTGGTAACATTCCTCCTTTCCCCAGGGACCTGGTGTTGGAGCCTGGCACAAAATACCTATTGAACTAAACTGTGGATTTCTTGAACTAGGTCCCCCAAATCAAATGTCACCCATGCTAAAGTTCCAAAGCCACAAAACAAAGTTGTTAAATTTTCCAAACAGGCCAGTCTTCATGACAATGAACTTCCCCATGCTTTAATCCTTGCATTTTTTAATCCTTTAATGTTTATAAAAAGTTACCCAAAGTCATCTGATGTCAACCAATCTCTATTTTTCTAGTGTTCTCTCTCCCTGTCCTGCCTTACAAGGAAAGTAAATTTGAAATGAGCAATCCATGTTTTTGTTCTTTGTTTTTGCTTTTTTTCAACCCTTCTCTGTCTATAAAACCAACTGGTAAAAATCAAACAACAAACTTTTCTGCTCAGCCCATCAGAATACTTCATCCATTTCATGGCATGAAATGTTGTCCGATTCTAGAATTGCTAAATCAAGTCAATCACAATCTTGAAGCCAAATTATTGCAGTTTTGTTCTTTGACACCCCGCATTTCTGGAGCTCCCTGTCTCCTGGACAGACCTACTGTCCCCTCATTGCTCTCCTGAGCATTTTATGTGTATCTTTTTCTGTTAGCATTTTTATATTGGTCTACCCTGCTGGGCATGAATAACATGACAGAGGAATAGTGTCATTTTACCACCCAAAGTCTAGCATGTGCTTGGAATTTAGGAAATACACAGTAATTTTCAAAAGTTAAATTGTTAATGTGATTTTTATCACAATAGAGTGCAAACAGGCACATTAATTGATTAAGTGAAATGACTTAAAAAAGACTTTTCTACTTCTAAATAAGAATATAAAATATGAAGCCCTAAGTTCAAACCCAAGTCCCATCAAAAAAGAAAAAGGGGGAGGGGCACAGAGAAAGAAAAAGTCAAATTAGTATATTTTTATACAACTTTGGTCTTAGAAATACCATACTTTTTCTACAGTGGCTCTCCAGTGCAGCCTCAGCATTATCTGGGAACTTGTTAGAAATGTTTCTTCTTGGGCTCCACCCCCAACCTACAAAATCATAACTCTGGGCATGCAGTCAGCCATCCAAGTCCTAACACGCCTCCACAGTGATGCTGAGTAAGGCTTGAGGACCACTGTTTTAGAACCAAATAAAGGTACTTAATCTTACACCTGCTCAACAACTCCTTTCATTTAATCAAAACCAAATACTGTTGGACATGGAGGTGCGGCTCAAGTGTTAGAATGCCTGCTTTGTAAGCACAAAGCCCTGAGTTCAAACCCCAGGGCCACAAAAAAAAAAAAAAGGAAAATTGTCCATTTTTCATACATAAAATAATAGTTTTCTAGTTGTATCAGGTGCTTTAATACATCTTGAATGTCTGTAATTTCTAAGAGAATTTTAAGATAATTGATTTTTTTCATTTCAATGATGGTCTAAAAAATTATTCTAGCAGTTGAGACAAAGTTTGTCTTAGGCAATGTTAACCAGCTTTCTGTCATTGTGACAAAATACCAGAAAAAGCAAACTAGAAGGAGGAAAGGGTTTGTTTGGGCTCACAGTTTAGAAGTCCGTGGTCACTGGCACTGTTTCCTTTGGGCCTCTGGTGACAGTACATCTGGAGTGATGAGCATGTGGCAGTGGAGATGAGGTGGTTCTGACTGCTTAGGCCATTTCTAAGTCAGTGGGGCCTCCCCAAACAAAACTGGAGCTCTTGAAGGAATAGAAGGGGAGAGTTATGTATGTTGTGGGCAGAGAATTGGGGGGGGGGTGGCTGTTAAAACAAGCAAATGACATTGGTTATTACAGTCTTTGAGAACTTTTTTCCATAAAAGAAATGTTTTAATTTGAGAAGCAATACAGTATTTCTAGAAGTCTAAAACCACACAAGTGTAGAATTTTATTCTGCTGAAATGATTAAAAGAAATTCAAAGCCAGGGGCAGATGGCAGTGTAGTACAGGCCCAGCTAATCGAGTCTGAGGCAGAAGGATCACTTGAGCTGGGAGTTTGGGGCCAGTCTGGGCAGCATGGTGAGACCCCCACCTCTTTAAAAAGTTCATGAATTTTGACTCGAGGGATGTAGCACAGTGGTAAAACTCGGCTTAACATGTACAAGGCCCTGGAATTCCACACACACACACACACACACACACACAGTTTCAGAAAAGTATTTAGGGCTATAGGTGTGGCCCAGATGGCAGAGCACCTGCCTAGCAAGTGTAAGGCCCTGAGTTCAAACTTCAGCACTGCCAAAAAAAAAAAATTTTTAAACAAGCATTATTTTAGAAAACTTTCCATGTAATTTTTGGTTACCACAGAAAAGGTTAGCTTTTTTTTAGTGTGTATTTCCTCATTCAATAAAGATGTAGCTAGCTGATGGCTGGGACCAATGAGGCTGAAGTTTAATTAGGCTAACAGTACACTTCTTTTGACACATCTCTGACTTCCATGATAGCATCAGCCCTACTAAATTCATAAAAATGAGGCTTTATTTCTGAATGCTAATTCCTTTCTGCTTTTGACTCATATTATCTAAAATAATAAAGGCAATCTATAACAAAATTTCCGAATAATGACATAAACGAGCTGTAATGTACTGTCAATAATGGCAATGCTACTGAAAAGGAAATGTTGGCTGGCAGATGGGACCATGATGAGAAATCCTCCAACTTGTCAGCAAAGTTCAGTTCTGATGTATACATAGCATGTTACATCTTAAATAATTAATTCAAAACTATGTGTGCCAGGCATTGTTCGAGGATCTGATATTATAGCAGTGAAGAAAACAAGAGTTTCTGACTTCATGTTGTCTTCTGACTGATTAATTTAAAAGCCAGGCAACGGTGGCTCACACCTATAATCCTAGCTACTTGGGAGGCCAAGATCAGGAGAATTGAGGTTTGAGGCCACTCTGGACAAAAGTTAGCAAAGCCCATCTGAACCAATAGCTGGGCATGGTGGTTTGCCTGTCATCCTAGTTATGGAGGGAAATGTAAAATAGGATTGTGGTTCAGGCCAGCCTGGGTAAAAAGTGAGACCCTATCTCTAAAATAACCAGAGAAAAAGGGCTAGCAGAGTGGCTCAAGTGGTAGAGTCCCTGCCTAGCTAGTGTGAGGCCCTGAGTTCAGACCCTAGTATCACCAAAAAAACCCCCCCAAAAAACAAAAACAAAAAACCAGTGGCTTATATCTGTAATCCTACCTATTTGGAAGGCTGAGATGAGGAGGGGCATGGTTCAACACCAGCCTGGACAGATAGTTTTTGAGATCCCATCTCCACAATAATCAGAGCAAAATGGACTGGCAGTGTGGCTCAAGTGGTAAAGCATGAAAAAAGAAATGGACCAGGTGGCTGAGAGGGAGAGATAATGGGGACAATGTAAATAACGTACAATATAAGTCTTATTGGAATTGTCACTATGAATCCCCACCCTGTGTAATGAATATATCCTAATAAAAAATTTATTTAAAAAATACACAGAAAAAAATGGACCAAGGTTTACATTCAACAAGTTTGTTGACCACATTATCTTTAAGTGAAAAATTAGAAACAAATGTTCACTGAATGGGAAATGGTTAAATAACTTATAGCATATCCACAAGCCTATTCTAAATCTATTAAAATGATGTCTTTGAAGTATTGAATGTCCTGGGAAAATACTATGCTAGACTGGTTAAGAGGGTAAAAGCCCTGATAAAAAAACACTGTATCTAAAAGATTAATAATGTTATTTCTGAGGTTTGGGGTCACTTTTTCAAGATTATTATAATGAATATATTTTTTATAATTAGAAAAATATATTCTTATAAAAATAGTAATCTTTTTTTGATCATCCTGGGGTTTGAATTTAGGGCTTAGCTCTTGCTAGGCGGGCACTCTACCTCTTGAGCCATGTCCAGTTTAAGAAAAGAAATCTTCACTGACAGGCTGTGAACAACATAGGTGCCTCTTGACTGTTCCATGCATTTCATTAAAAGCAGCTTTAGCTAGCTTTGGCTGCTGTAAGAAAGAATATGATTTTTTTTCTGTTTTTTTTTTTAATGTTTTTTAGCTGATGTTCATGAAGGGAGTGAGTACTGAAACCTGTGCAGCTAATGAAAGGAAATCTTGTCTAAGAAAGCGCATTTCTTTACAGCACTGTCATTCCATCCATTTGGGCCTTCTGCTGGAAAAGTAAAATCAAGTCTCAAATAATGCCTTTTCCCCTGCCTTGTTTCAGTTGTCATTTTATTGCAAGATGGTAGAATCAACTGAAAATTTAAACTAGCTGGGCGCGGTGGTGCGCGACTGTAGTCCTAGCTACTCCGGAGGCTGAGGCAGTAGTATCGCTTGAGTCCAGGAGTTCTGGGCTGCAGTGCGCTATGCCGATCGGGTGTCCGCACTAAGTTTGGCATCAATATGGTGCCTCCCGGAAGCGGGGGACCACCAGGTTGCCTAAGGAGGGGTGAACCGGCCCAGGTCGGAAAATTTAAACTACAACCTAATAATAGACAAACTGCTTATCCAAAAGTGCGCTCCAAAAAACTCCAAATACAGATTAAGGATCAGAAATGTCTGATTGGCCAATAGATTTAGATTTACTCCTCACTCTCTCAGCAAATAAAATGTGAACTTTTCTTTTTGGTGGGACTGGAGATTGAACTCAGGGTTTCATAAGTGTCCCACTACTTGAGCTTCACCTCCAGTCCATTTTGCTTTGGTTATTTTGGAGATAGGGTCTCGGGAACTATTTGCCAGAGCTGGCCTCAACCACGGTGTCCAAATCTCAGCCCTTCTCTGCCCCACCCCCCAACCCAAGTAGCTAGGATTACAGGCATGAACCGCTGGTGCTGCTGAACTTTTCCTTTTAATAATGATAAACTGTAATTTCAGTAGACAGCAATACAGAAAGATTTTGTCATGTAGACTAGTTCC